TGTTTGTGATGCTTGTGATACTTTTTATTTTCATATAAAAACCATCCATCAATTTAAAAAAAACATATTCATGCATTGTTGAAGGCTTTCATGGCCGGAATTACTGCGTTGCTGTGAGTTTTCCAGGCTGTATGGCCATGTTCCAGAAGCATTCTCTCCTGATGTTTCACCCACATCTATGCCAGGCATCCTCAGAGGTTGTAAAGTCTGTTAGAAACTAGACAAGTGAGGTTTATATATCTGTGGAATGTCCAGGGTGGGAGAAAGAACTCTTGTCTGTTGGAGGTATGAATGTTGCAATTGGCCACTTTAATTAGCATTGAATGGACTTGCAAAGCCTGGCTCCTTCCTGCCTAGGGGAATCCTTTGTTGGGAGGTGTTAGCAGGCCCTGATTTGTTAGTGTTGCTCTTTAATTAGAGTTTTTTTAAAAAAATACTGATAGCCAGATTTTGTTCATTTTCATGCTGTCCTTCTTTCTGTTCACATGCTTGTGGGTTTTAATGGCTTCTCTGTGTAGTCTGACATGGTAGTTATTACAGTGGTCCACCATTTCTGTGTTCTCAAATAGTATGCTGTGCCCAGGTTGGTTCATTAGGTCTCTGCTATGGCCAACTAAATTAGTCAGCAGTGCCTTTCATGTTCCTTGATTCATGTTAGGGCACTCACTTGCCTAGTTTCCAACAGACCTCACAACCTCTGAGGATGCCTGCCATAGATGTGGGCAAAAAGTCAGGAGAGAATGCTTCTGGAACATGGCAATACAGCCAGAAAACTCACAGCGACCTACATTCATACATAATTCATCTTTAATTGGGCCTAACAGAGAATTCACTGTAAAATATTGTTCTATCTTTTGTCATGAGAGGCAAATTGAAGGAGAACAATGCCATGTGTGTGTAGGAAGAATATTTCTGAAAAAGGTAACCAGTGAGGCTACGTCAATGCCTGGTTAAGGACATGATATGAACTTGTGGAAATCACTACCAGGTTAAATAAACTATCCTGCCATGGTAACATGTCATGTTGAAATGAAATTATATAATTATTTTCAAAATGTATTATTTTTCACAAAATAAAAATATATTTACTACACTGAAAATTCAACTTTTGTTTACCAAATCATTTTTGAAGTAAGTGTTTCTGAAAATATATGCAAAGGAAGTATGTGCCTTTCTTTCTTTGTGCAGTGTTGCAGGAAAGTTTATTCTGTGTGCATTGCTGACAGAAAAGTGATTTCACTGGCCAGATAAAACTATCATGTTACATTAAAACACAGTGCAGTGCAGAATAAAATATGCCCTAACTGAAATAGATGACAATATTGTACAGCCATATTTAAGTGCTGTCAGATTTAGGTGTGAACTAATCAATATCGACTTTTATGCCTACCACGGATGTATAAAAGCTATGAATCTGAAAGTCTATTAAGACAGGCTACAATTTGGGAGAGGGAAATGGTTAGGTTTTAGCTCTAGATCCCACACACCTCTAAAATTAGTTATTTTACTTCCAGTTCCTTTCCTCCATGTCCCAGCTGGTTGAACAACATTATCTTATTCTCCTACCCCCTTTTAACTACACAATTAAACTTAATTTCCCTAATTTGTTCAACACTCTAGCAAGATGTGCTCTCACCCTTAGAAATAAACATTGGATAGTCTTTTTGTACCTCCACAACTCTTTCTCTTCTTCCCTGATACTTCCTGAATGCTTAGCAGTGACAAAATTCCACCGGAACAGGTTCTTATTACGAGACTTTTAGGGTGTGACCCTACCTGTATATACATCACAAGAATTAAATTCTACCCAATCACTTCCTGTTGGAGCAATCAGAGATTAGGAGCAAGTGAGGGGGAGCACTAAAGTGCCCTATAATGCAATGAAATGGTATTTAATGCTAACTTCCTGGAGTGGTTGACTTTGAGGCAAAAAGAAAGATCGAACCTTACAATTTTGAGGTATCTAGTCCACTGTTGTTATGGAAAGTAGACTGCTCCGCACTCTGGTTTCCATGGGTTTAAGCTTTGGAAAGCATTCAGAAAATTAAATTGATCCTAAATGCTGCAACCCAAAAGGGATACTCAAAGAAGGGGGTGGCCAGGGAGGGATATTCAGGAAGTGGGGATTCTACAGGTAGTCTAGTCACTAGATGGCAGGAGCTTTAAAAAGTCAAAACCAACATTTTATTATAAAAAGAGGTGTTTTCTGCTAATAATGTATTTTATTTTATTTTAAATTAGTTAAAGGTAAAGGTTTCCCCTGACATCAAGCCTAGTTGTGTTCAACTCTTGGGGATGGTGCTCATCTCCATTTCTAAGCCAAAGAGCCAGAGTTGTCCATAGACACCTCCCAGGTCATGTGGCCGGCATGACTGCATAGAGCGCCAGTACCTTCCCACCAAGGTGGTACCTATTGATTTGCTCACATTTGCATGTTTTCAAATGTTAGGTTGGCAGAAGATGGGCTAACAGCGGGAGCATATCCCGCTCCCTGGATCTGAACCGCCAAACTTTCAGTCAGCAAATTCGGCAGTTCAGCGGTTTAACCCGCTGCACGGCCAGTAAGTAGTATTTCATCAATTTGTGCTAGTTGATTGAGTTCTGGATAATTGGGTTGTTGTGAGTTTTTCTTGCTATATGGCCATGTTCTAGAAGCATTCTCTCCTGACGTTTTGCCTGCAGAGGTTGTGAGGATGCTTGCCATAGATGCAGGTGAAACGTCAGGAGAGAATGCTTCTAGAACATGGCCATATAGCCTGAAAAACCCGCAACAACCCAAAATTGGGTTTTTTTGGGTAAGCAGATGGTGACTGGTATATGGCATATGTTTTGTTTTTCAAATATATAATCAATAAAAGAAAATTAAAATACAAATTCATATTTTCTAACATAAAGATCATATTATTTCCAAACATCATGTATCAATAAACTGAGGTTTTTTTTTAATAAAAAAAAATTAAAATCTTGATCCTGTCTTTCACAGGAGTCATACTTATCCCAGCTTGACACCACTTTCATTGCCATGTCCCAATGCAATAGAATCATGGGAGTTGTAGTTTTACAAGGCCTCGAGCCTCTACTGCTGGGGCCTCATCAAACTACAAATCCCATGATTCCATAGCATCGAGCCATGGCAGTTAAAATGCGGTCAAACAGTTTTAAGTTATGAAAATCGTTGTTTTCCAAACTCTGGTCTTCCAGGCTTTTGGACTTCAACTCCCAGAATCCCTTCTCATTAGCCAAGGCAGTTGAGGCTTCTGGGAGTTGAAGTCCAAAATACTGGCTTAGAGGCACGCTTAGAGACGGAGTCAGAAGATGTACTCTCGTGATTGGGAGGCTTTACCTAGCCAATTAGGGCCGGGACTGAGTTTGAATGGCACCTGTCTAAGCCAATGGGAGTGAGTCTAAGATGAATCCGCCTTTCCGAAGACAGATAGCGTCGGAGCGGCAACATGGCGGCGGCCAGTGCAGGGAAGGTTGGTGCTGCTGCCACAGGCGCCGTCGTCAAGCCGATTTTCAGCCGGGATTTGACCGAGGCGAAGCGGCGTGTCAGGGAGCTGTACAGGGCGTGGTACCGAGAAATCCCGAACACGGGTGAGAGACCCCACGGGGGGCGCGTCACCTCAGCCTCAAGGTCGCTTGGAGGAGCCCGTTGTGGCCTTGCCTCTTCCTTCGCTTCTCTCAAAGCTGAGATTTCTCTCCAATGCCATGCCACTTTAACTGCCATGGCTCAACGCTGTGGAACCCTGGGAGTTGTAGTTTGGTGGGGCACTAGTCCTCTTTGGAATAGTAGGCTAAAGACAGGCACGGGAAAACTTTGGCCCTCCAGGTGTTTTGGACTTCAACTCCCACAATTCGGAATTGTGAGAGTTGAAGGCCAAAGCACCTTGAGGGCCGAAGTTTGCCCATACTTGCTAAAGACCTTGCAAAACTACAGCTCCCAAAGTTCCTTCTTGTTGTTGTTTTGTTGTTGTTTATTTTTATCCCATCTTTCTCCCATGTGTGGGACTCACAGCGGCATACAGTGGATTAAAATAAATTTACATAAAATGTTTATTTATTTACGACATTTATATGCCACCCTTCTCACCCCGAAAGGGACTCAGAGCGGCTTACGGGTAATATGTAAATACAATATATGATATTATTAGCATAGTACAATATCAGTATTAAATATGGTGGAGCCCCTGGTGGCTTTCGGTTAATCCTTTCGATTAAGGATTTGAGTGTGTGTGTGTGTGTGTGTGCATGGGTTTGCATGTATTTGTGTTTGCATATAATAATGAATAAGGGCTGAGTATCCCTTATCCTAAAGAAGCCTTTAGGATTACGGATCTTCCAGATTTTTGAATGTTTGCACATACATAATGAAATATTTTGGAAATGGGACTCATGTTTAAACACAAAGTTGATTTATGTTTCATAGACACTTGATACACATAGCCTAACCGTAATTTTGTACACAATATCTTAAAGAATTTTCATAATTAAAAAGCAAAAGTGTCACCCTTTTCGCTACCCATGTGGACAATGTTGGAATTCTGTAAAGGATACTCAAACAACAGCTTCTTTGGATTGAGACAGAAACCAGTTAAAATATAGAATTTAAAAATATTTACAATCATATATTAAAACTGCCAGTGTTATACCTTATTTAAATTTGCCTCCTGGAAGATAGTGGTCTTTAATGCTGTTCTAAATGCAGACAGTATATTCAGCGTATCTTGGAGATGGAACTGAAGTCTAAATACAGAATTTATTTGTTTCATATGCACCTTACATAGTCTGAAGGTATTTTTTTTACAATATTTTTATTAATTTTGTACATGAAACAAAGTTTGTGTACATTGAATTATTGGATTACACTTTACCAGAAATCCAGCATTTTATAAAAAGCAGCATCTATGTGAACAAGATTTGTTTTCCCATCTAACAATGCTTTTTTGCTTCTGATCTAGTGCACATTTTCCAGTTGGACATCACAGTGAAACAAGGACGAGATAAGGTGCGGGAGATGTTCATGAAGAATGCTCATGTCACAGATCCTCGAGTTATTGACATGCTTGTTATTAAGGTAAATGAAATAACAAATCCACAGCAGAAATAGATTTATTGATGAGTGAAAGCAATCCCTTTCCCTTCATTTATTAGACCTTTATTGAAGTAAAAAGTATAAGAAAAGTTCACAACACACTCCAAGTAATACTTGCCTCAATACTTAACAGAAGATAATTTCTGGCATTTCCTTCTCAAAGACGAATTATTTCTTATAATTCAGATACCTTCTTATTGTCAAAGGAATAGTCGTTTATATCTGTTAATAATAGTTAACTAACCAATTACAATGTATTGTCGAAGGCTTTCATGGCCGCAATCACTCAGTTCTTGTGGGTTTTTTCGGGCTATATGGCCATGTTCTAGAGGCATTTCTCCTGACGTTTCGCCTGCATCTATGGCAAGCTTCCTCTGAGGAAGCTTGCCATAGATGCAGGCGAAACGTCAGGAGAAATGCCTCTAGAACATAACCAATTACAGTTTTGCTTCATAGCCCTTGTGGTGTCTTTCCTCCTCAACATTGTTTAAATCTATGCATTTATATATTCAAAACTTTCTGGATATGCTAGAGCACATTCCCAAATGTACACATTAAAAGGATATTTCAGTACCAAAATATTGACACTTCTTCATCATTAAAATGCATACTAAACAGGAAATAAAATGTTTGATTGTAAAGGAAGAATGCAATTTCTCATTTGTAGAGCGTGCTCTTGCTGTTTGTATTTCATTTGTCTTTTTGCTGATTATATAATAGTAACCCTTAGAAAACACATATAGTTGAAAATGGATATTGGAAAATGGGTGCAAGAAGGTGGCTAGATAATGGAGCATAAGGTGAGGAGCCTTTTGACATTCATGCTTTTGTAAGAAAGTTTAGAATTCCTTGCTTAGTCTTGGATTTATCTCTCACTAAAAATAGTGAGATGGTTTAGAATTCCTTGCTTAGTCTTGGATTTATCTCTCACTAAACTAGTGCTGTGATGAATAGACTACGCCAAGCTTATGCATCCTTTTCTCCGAGATGTATGAAATATAATAGCTTCACAACTTCACATTTAATGTTTGCAAATTTTGTTCTTAAAATTTTGATCTGATCTGCTGTGCTACCACCATTCAACAAAAAATTCAGTGTGTACCCCTACTATGTATTAAAATAGAGTGACAAATACCTTGGACAAACAAACATCTTCCTGCACTTTTTTTTGCATAGGGGAAAATGGATCTCCAGGAAACAATTCAAGTGTGGAAACAGAGGACCCATCTAATGAGGTATTTCCATGAGACAGAAACGCCACGGCCCACAGACTTCCTATCCAAGTTCTATGCTGGACATGATCCTTGAGATAAAATAACTGTGTGGGAGCATAGTTCTGTGTTTTCTCTTGCAAATAAAGTCCTGTATATTGAGCTGTTAAGCATTATGATCGATATGTTTAATTATTTGTATTGGTTGGTCCTTGTGAGGGAGTGATTGTACTGAGTAGAAAAAAATGGATTTTTAACTTAGAATACAATCAATCCTAACAATATTAACAATGGATTTTTATGGGTACCTTTTCCAGCTGAATGCACTTTTTTTCCAGGAAGAAATATTCCAAATATTACTGGTAATACCTTCTGGAAAGTACTTAAACATGGGTCTAAGTCATAGGCTACCTAAGAACCAAATTCACAAATTGCAAAGAGTTTTTCTTGCTTATCAGAAAGTCTACTTAGAAAATACGGCAAATTTTTCTGAGTGTATATTACAAAATCAATATAAGTAAAAAAGAACAAAATTCAAAAGGGAAATTGGTTTTCTTCTCTTTCTCTCTTTCCAGTTTCCCAGCATTTATACTTCCTTGTAAATCATTAGTTTAAGTAGTGTAGGCACCCCTGGCTTCTGAGGAGTAGGCACACAGGCCCCTCAAGTTGAAAATGTGCATAAGAACAAGCCAAGTTGCATTACTGCAAATAATAACATTACTTACTTTAGAGCAAAAGAGATGGTGCCACTTGACCACTTGGTTTTCCTTCTTCACAAAGAAAAATGTAGAGTTGGAAGAAACTTGGCTGTCATAATCCAACATTCTGGTTCATATTTGATGCAATTACAATGTCTTTGTGATGACAAACCAGCCTCAATGCAATCTCCAGCAGAGAACATACCACCTCTTAGAACTACCTAAAAGAATCCTCCACTGTGTGCAACAGTGGAGCAGAACAAACAACTCCACACCTATATGCTTGTCCACAATGCCCTGTGTCATGTACAGAGGAAGAATTGTTTAAAGCTACAGACAATGCGGCTGTTGTTGCCTGGGTTTGGTCAAAAAAACATTTAGCTACTTGTGCTCCTTCTATTTTTTTATCAGTTTTACACTTACGTATGCAATGCTTTTGATGCGAAATAGAAAAAAACTGGAGAAGATTAAGGAGAAACATGACAGCAGTCTTGAAATGGCACAATAGCTATTTGACAGTACAACATGGAGCAGTTGCTCTGTTGCTTCAAGAATAACTACAGAGAAGCTTATTTGGCTAAACCTGAGGAGAAATCTAGCAATAGATTTTTAAGCAGCAGAAAATATTCCATTTTGCCAAGTTGCCTTTTGATCTGCCCACTCCACTTCTGAGTCTATTCAGGGACTTCCAAGTTGCCCATTTTGGGTTTGTCCCTGGAGGCAGACCCTCATGGGGGGCCATCCATTTGGGATTTCCTGGTTTAGCTGCTCTTGCTGTTGCTGGGGGAACATTAAGAGGAATGGTGGTTCTCATGAAGCTTTTCCTTGATTTGAGTCTACTGGTAGGAGGCTGATAGCAATGCAGTGGATGCCTTTCACAGTGTTCAATCTTATTTCTCCCACAATTAGCAGCAACTTCCCATCGCACATCAGAGCAGGGGCAGGATGCCAGCTAGCTTATAGTCTATCAACAGGTGTAGATTTGATACATCCTGTGATTATTTATGTTTCGGAGACATCCTGTGATTATTTATGTTTCGTTTAGTTCTATGTTCATCTGCTTCACATGAACAGACTTGCCAAACAGGGCAGTTGAGTAAGACAAGGCCAGGGTTAAATATGGTTAAACATGGTCATCTTCATCTCCAGCTTAAACATGGTCTGCTCTTTCAGTTTTTCTCATAACTTGTTTTTCAGTGCCCTTTTACTATGATTCCCACCCAACACAACATGAACAGTAATAATGTTGACAAAAACTTGCATTTGTGTAGCTTTTTCAGTAGGTGAGGACAGGTCAGTTTCTTAGCTTAAATGCTGTCACAATCTGAACCCATCCCCCCTCATTCGTTTGTGCCGTGTTCCTTTCCCAGATACATGAGAATATGACTGGAACATAAACCAATCGAAGGAAACATGCACATCTTGATATATCATTCTTTATTTGCAGTCAAAACCATCTGTCATACTTTTTTAAGACACAGTCTTTAGCACGCTTGCAGAAGACGTATGATGCAGCATATAATTGTTGCTTAATCAACAAACAAACATATATGCATACCCGTGTATACTGGTCATCCTCATTTAGACATGCAGAGAACATTCACTAGTGTGGCGGAGATCCAGCAGCTCTAAAATACCTTCATTACAAACTAGAGGAGGTCCTGACTAAACATTGATGTCAGAATAATTTATCTGTGTGTGTTTCTTGTAGTCCAACACTGCAACACTGTAAAGAAAAAAGAAAGGATATTCAACATACTGACAGTGTTTTTGATGATATTCAGTTGCTAAGCAAAGTACTAGTTTTGCACTCTGCAGGTCAAGAAATGTATCATAAAATAAGATGAAGTTGTAAACATTACAAGTTATTTTCTCTATAAGATAACAAGTTATCTCTGACTTCGGTAAGTGCAACAGACTTTGTAAAGGTCTTGGCAAATCATTATGTATGAAGCTGTAATCTTTGAGAATTACACAAAAAGAGAAGACTAAAAGGTATAATGTGTTAAATAACTTGGCAGATGCTTCTTTTATTCCTTCTGAAGAACCAGATATAGACAACAGCATGCAAATTCAGAAAATGAAGATAACAATAAGGCAGGGATTGTCAACCATACATGCTATAATCATGGAAGTGGCAGGAAGAGATATAAAAGACAGATATTCTTTTGAATCTGCAGCATCTGATGTTCTTTAAAGTAAAAGTGAGTAAAATGTATACCAGGATAACGAATTGGTAGGTATCTGGGTAATTTGGAGTACACTGCTTAAAAATCAATGGTGAAAATCCTTTTCTGATTGGTTAACAGTAGCAACAACAAAACATGTATCGTCTTCTTAATTAGATGGCTACAAAAGAACAACTGGAAGTGGGTAGGAAGAAATTTTTGTGTGAAAGAATTGTGTGGAGCTTAATCCCCAGAATTCATTATTCTTGGCCCAAACAGAGCCTTTTGCATCAGGCTCTAGTTGATGATGGTAGGATTCTATTTTGGCATTTTCAGTATATCCCACAACCATGAAGACTGCCTGCCTGCCTCTGCTTTATATAGAATGAGAACCATGCTCCCGCATTTATATAGTTTGAAAACCATGCAGCCTCTGGATTACAACTTCTAGTATCCTGTAGCAGTGTTCCCCAGAGTTGCTGGGACTGCAATTAAACATCATCTGGGGGGCACATGATTCCCACCCTGAGATATATCATGTTCAAGTACCAAGGATAATCTGAAAAAAAGAAAATGGCTATTACTAAAAAATCTATTTGGGGCAGTTTTAAGGCATCATGTGACACCTTTTTACAAGCACGGCAGTTCTGCTATACAACCCAATATTATTTTCAAAATATATCAAAGAAAGCTTTTTTATTTACAGTTATACCTATTAATCGTCGTCGTCATCATCCTCTGGCACAAAAATGTCATGTTCTTCAAGCAAAGCTGCGAAGCTTTTGCTGATCTGTGTCCCAACATAGAGGAAGGGAATTACAATTGCAAACACGCGGAGGAGGCCAAAAGGCATCTACGGAGATCAAAAAACAGTTAATTTCATTCAAAATGCACATTCTGAAGAAATAGCTATCAATAAATTTCTATGGAACTGCCAGAATAACTACATCTAAATATAAGGTTTAAAGAAACACTACCTTTATCTGAACAGACATCTCCTCTAACACTTAGCACAATTCAGTTGGTGGACATTTAATGCAGTACCCTAGAATTATTTAAACAAGAAAGGAAGCTGGGATGATATCTCATACTGAAGAGTCCACCGTTTGTTTTTGTTTTTTCGGTACAGAGCACAAGTTTCTAGCAATATACTTGCAGTGTATAATATTCTCTGTGACATGGTGGTTGTTAGATTGGGCCAACATTTCTGTGTTCTCAAATAATATGCTGTGTCCAGGTTGGTTCATCAGGTGCTCTTCAACCAGAGAAATCAGCCATAGCTGAGCATCTGATGAACCAACCTGGACACAGCATATTATTTGAGAACACTCTAACAACCACCATGTCAGACTACACAGAGAAGCCATTGAAATGCACAAATCTGCGGACAATCTTAACAGAAAGGAGGAAACCATGAAAATGAACAAAATCTGGCTACCAGTATTTAAAAAAACCTCTAAAATAGGGACAGTAAATAAAGAAAAACACTAAAAAACGGGGGAATTTCCAGACAAGAAACAATAAGGGCCAGCTGATCACCTTCTGCCAACCTAGCAGTTCGAAAACATGCAAATGTGAGTAGATCAATAGGTACCGCTCCGGCGGGAAGGTAACGGCGCTCCATGCAGTCATGCCGGCCACATGACCTTGGAGGTGTCTACGGACAACGCTGGCTCTTCGGCTTAGAAATGGAGATGAGCACCACACCCCAGAGTCAGACACGACTGGACTTAATGTCAGGGGACTACCTTGACCTTAATCACCTCCCAACAAAGGATACCCCCAGGCAGGAAGTAGCCAAGCTTTGAAGCTGCAAGGCTATTCAATGCTAATCAAGGTGGTCAATTGCAACAGTCACACTTTCCTCAGACAAGAGTTGGGTTGTTGTAGGTTTTTTCGGGCTATATGGCTGTGTTCTAGAGGCATTCTCTCGTGACGTTTCGCCTGCATCTATGGCAAGCATCCTCAGAGGTAGTGAGGTGTGTTGGAACGACCAGGGTGGGAAAAAGGACTCTTGTCTGCTGGAGCTAGATGTGAATGTTTCAACTGACTACCTTGATTAGCATTTGATGGCCTGGCAGTGCCTGGGGCAATCTTTTGTTGG